ACCGGTAGCGTATTACATTAGACTAAAAATTTTGGTGTGTAATAGTTTAATCATTTAATAATACTTTTCAAATAGATGCCGACGTCAAAACGCGCACAACTACAAAATATGGATAAAGTATCAACGGAAGATTTAGAACCAGAATTCGTCACTGAAGTAATTAAGGCAGTTGAAAGCATTTTATCCACTTCAACCCCAAAGTATATTGGATCCTCTAAAATGACAGGATTATCGTTTACCAAATTTCTTCAAGGATGTGTCGAAAAGATTAACGATAAATCAGATTCCAATGTTCAACTATCAATTCCGAACGAACATGAGTCTGTTATTAAATACATTACACAACGAACCATTGATCATTGTATTCAAATGTATACAACAAATATGAATTTAAAATTTCAAGAATTATATAATGTTGATGATATACGACAAGTTAAAGTAATTAATTGGAAAGAGTTTAATGAAATTCATATGGAAGTTTTTGCACAAGTTGGAAAAATATTTTTTAATAGTATCATTGGAAATGGAGATCATATAAGGAGATCTGAACTCAAATTAAATAAATTAATCAATGAAAAGTTTGAAGAAAATCGTAAATCAAATTCTGTGGCTTTATATGAGTATAATATGGAATTGGCTAAAAAATTATGGGATAATCATGTAAAAGTTGGTCTCTCCGCCGATAATTTCTTTAAGGTAAGATGATTTGTTTATTATGTCTTTTTTTCTTAAAAAACGTTGAATCTAATATTTCTTAAACTTGATAGACCAAAGAGGAATTTAATGATGCGATCGAAATTTTTGAGAGAGGTATGTCTAATATTTTAATGATAGATTGCCCAGAAACAGATATGATAAAGGCAAAATTTAAATCTCATGAATATCAGGAAGCGATCACAGAATTAAATTCGTTGCAGGTTTTAAACAATAAATTGGTAGATCAAATTAAAGAAACTCGAAAGGTTGAACAGCAAATTTTAGAAAAAACTGCTCGAGAAAAAGAAATGGAAAAGAAAATTTATAAATTAGAAAAAGAACTTAAACAAATTGTACATGAATATTCGAACAAATTTAAAGAAATGGAAGAAAATGTTAAGCAACAAAATATTGCAAATAATGGGATTTTAACTCAAATTAAACATGAAAATGAATCAATTTTAGCTAAAATTAAAAGTGAAAACGAATCAGAGATAGAATTATTAAAAGAGAAAACTAAAAGTTCTACGAAAAACAAATGGTATTGGGTTAAAGCAGTCGGTGAATGGGTTAGAGTGGTAGTTCATATTGCTGATATTGTCGTAGGGACGGTTGACAATTGAAAATACGGGCGATAGTCAATAAAAAAGGAGGAAATCTAAATTTCGGTCAAAAAAAAATTTTTTTTTTATTGGGTTGACTGATCATAGTCATGTGCACAAAATTGGCTTAAGAACCAAAAAATTATTTCCCCTCCCATAAATAAATTAAAAAATTATAAATTTAAACAAGGATTATTAGTAAACAAATTTTTCCAAATGAGCCTTATTCAACCAAAAAGGATCTAACTATGACTGAGTCTACTCTTAACTAGGTAATCCTTTCTGTGATTTTTAATACACTTTAATGCTAATACTTTACATTAAAACAGTAACTAAAAAATCAATGTAACATAATCTTCTGTAAGCCGTTGGCAAGTACAAAAAGGTCTACTTCTTAAGTTTAGTAAAAAAATGTATATTTAATATATTTATGGCAAATGGATACATAATAAAATTCAAATAATTAACTTGTAATTGTCCAGGTATAAAATTTGATTTATTTTAATTATGATCATTATTACGTATTACATTAACAATATAAATTCCACTAAGTGGTTTATACCATTCTTCCTATTAATGTTCTCTTGCAAATCGGTCGTCTGCTTGTATTTCCTAGAAAGATTAAGTTTGGTATTGAGGAGGGCATTTTACTACGTATAAATACTGCAATAAAAAAAAAAAAAAAAAAATGCTAATTAAAAGTATTTATATCCAAAAGATGTTCTATGTAATAAAGGCTGTTGTGTGTGTGTCTAATTGTTTGAATATAAATTGTTAACAATCGTAACATCTCGTATGAAATTAGCAATCATAATTTAATTATAAAGAAACTTATTTTAACAAAAATTTTAATTTTAATTATTTTTTCAATTTTGCATACAATTTATGATAATACGAAGAAAATGAAACGAAAAGATGAAATATTGTTATATCATTTCGGATGATAAGTTCGATTCCGACTCTAACAACTATCACTGACATCACTTAATCATTTTAAGCATAAAAACTTTAATAAGTCACTGATTCAGGAAAAGTTTGCAAATTAATTTTTTAGTTCAACCAGCGTTTCTAATACTGAAATTAGACCAATTACTAATTAATGTTTTCGCTAAAATATCTTGATGACGAATTGACAGAGTATGTCTCCTTTTTTATCGTTATGACTTGCAATCTTTTGATATGCAACCACATATGGAGATCTTCGTTTGGAAATGCAATTTACGTTATCGAAGTATCCATATTCTGTTGATTTTAGATTTTTTATACCAATATGAGATTATAATGCGTCTTTCTTAAATTCTGTATTATTCTATCATATAGCAAGTTAATATTGTGCAACAATATATTCCTTCAATAAATAGCGTTTTCTTAACTTCTTCCCTATTCCTTCATATTTTCATATATGCAAGGCTAATTTTGTGCCATTTCATTGACGCTTTTTGATACTAAAAAAAATGCTTTTTCTAAATTTATTTCAGTTCCTTCTCCTTTGTGATAACATGGCTAAATTAAACATTGCAATAATATTACCATTTTCTGCTGCTTTTTGATACCAATAAAATGCTTTTTCTAAATTCTCTTCAACTCCTTTTCCAAACTGATAACACAAAGCTAAATTATTCATTGCAACTTTATTATGATTTTCTGCTGCCTTTTGATACCAATAAAATGCTTTTTCTAAATTCTTTTCAATTTCTTGTCCTTTTTGAAAATATCGAGCTAGATTATACATTGCAACTATATTATCATCATCTGCTGCTTTTTGATACCAATAAAATTCTTTCTCCAAATTTTTTTCTATTTCTTTACCATTGTAATATAATATTGTAAGAAAGATTTGCATATTAATATTATTATTTTCTGCTGCTTTTTGATACCAATAAAATGCCTTTTCCAAATCCTTTTCAGTTTCATCTCCATATTGATAAAATAAGGCTAAATTATACATTGCAACTATATTATCATTTTCTGCTGCTTTTTGATACTAATAAAAGGCCTTTTATAAATTCTTTTCTATTCCTTCTCTTTTATCATACAATAATGCAAGATTATTTTGTGCATTATTATTATTATTTTCTGCTGCTTTTTGATACCAATAAAATGCTTTTTGTAGATTTTTTTCTATTATTTGTCCATTTTGATAACATAGTGCTAAATTAAACATTGCAATTGTATTATTATTTTTTGCTGCTTTTTGATACCAATAAAATGCTTTTTGTAAATTTAATTCAGTTCCTTTTCCATTTTTATAACACAAAGCTAAATTATTTATTGCAGTTATATTACCATTTATTGTTGCTTTATGATACCAAAAAAATGCTTTTTCTAAATTTATTTCAATTCCTTTTCCATTTTGATAGCATAAAGCTAAATTATTCATTGCAACTATATTACCATTTTCTGCTGCTTTATAATACCAATAAAATGCCTTTTCTAAATTTATTTCTATTTCTTCACCTTTTTCATATAATAATGCAAAGATTAAATTGTGCTATTTTATTATTATTTTCTTCTGCTCTTTGATACCAATAAAATGCTTTTTCAAAATTCTTTTTGATTTTTTGTCCATTTTGAAAACATTGAGTTAAATTATATATTGCAACTATATTGTCATTTTCTGCTATATTATAATACCAATCAAATTCTTTTACTAAATATTTTTCTATTTTTTTACCATTATAATATAATATTGCAAGAAAATTTTGTGCATTATCATTATTATTTTCTGCTGCTTTTTGATACCAATAAAATGCTTTTTTATAATTTCTTTTAGTTCCTTCTCCATATTGAAAACATAAAACTAAATTATACATTGCAATTATATTATCATTTTCTGCTGCTTTTTGATACCAATAAAATGCTTTTTTAAAGTTCTTTTCTATTGCTTTTCCTTTATCATACAATAATGCAAGATTATTTTATGCATTATTATTACCATTTATTGCTGCTTTTTGATACCAATAAAATGCTTTTTCTAAATTCATTTCTAAATTTTTATTATGTTCATATAATACTGCAAGATTATATTGTGCATTAACATATTGCTTTTTGATACCAATAAAATTCTTTTTCTAGATTTTTTTCTATTCCTTCACCTTTTTCATATAATAATGCAAGACTAAATTGTGCTATTTTATTATTATTATCTGCTGCTTTTTGATACCAATAAAATGCTTTTTCATAATTCATTTCTGTCCCTTCACCCTGTTTATAAAAAAATGTAAGATTATTTTATGCAATTTTATTACCCTTTTCTGCTGCTTTTTGATACCAATAAAAGGCTTGTTCTAGATTCTTTTTTGAGCCTTCACCCTGATTATATAAATAAGCTAGAGAAGTTTATGCTATTTCATATCCTTTTTTAGCTAAATCTTTACAAATTTTAAATGCTTTTTTTTTATTTATATCAGTTCCGATTCCAAAATAATAGCAAATTCCAAGCTTATATATTCCATTTATAAATTCTTTCTTATGTAATTGTTTATATATTTCAAAAGCTTTACTTTCATTTTTTTCAATGCCTATTCCAAGTTCATAACATCTACCTAAATTAAATAATCCACATAAATTTCCATTATTAGCCGCTTTGTTATACCAATAAAAAGCTTTATTTAAATTTTTATCATTTGCTATATTATTTTCATAATAAATACCAAGATTAAGTTGCCCACAAATGCTTTCATTTTCTACGGCTTGTTGTATCCATTTAAAAGCAAAATCATAATTTATCTCAATTCCAAATCCCTCTTTATAGCAATTTGCAAGATAAACCTGCGCAATAGGATAATTATCTTCCGAGACTCTTAAAAATAAATCAAATGCTTCTTTGTAATTTTTCGCAAGGCAAGTATTGCTAAAATACAAAAATCCCAAGAAAAATTGATATTTCGATTTCACTTGATTCTCGTTAAGCCATTCAAAGATTTCATTTAAAGTTCGATTTGAAAGATATATACAATGACTAACAAAATAGTCTGTTTCAATAAAATTATTTCCTTCATTTTGTGTTTTAATTAAAAGCCTAATTAACTTATCAACAAGAATATTTATACTATCTTCTTTATCATAAATTTCCAAAAATAAATGTTCTGCTTGACATAATATATGTTGTGAATTGCATTCATTATATATTGATTCCAAATTCAAATCCTGCATTAATTTACTTAGAAACAACTCAGAATTATTACTAGGCATGCATTCAACGTTTACAGTTTCCGTGTTATATTCTGGTTGAATGTTTGAATCAATTTCAACATTAGTATTTCCAAAAATTATTCTTGAAGCGATTCAACTACTTGTTGCATAGTAGGACGTTCATTCGGATCATCTTTCCAACATGCTAACTATGAATTATTAAAAATTTAAAAGGTTGATTTAATTAATTATGAATGCACATAAATAAAATATTACGTATGTTTACCTTGATACAGGTTACTATATTCGATAGGAGTATTCATAACAATTTTTTCTCTCATGCCTCCTTTAATTTTCATAATTAAATCTGCGTCATACTCTACATTTTCGGCATAAAAAGGTTTATGTCCACTAGAGATTTGCCAAAGAAGGATTCCAACACATCTGTTGAATAACTTGACGCATCAGTTATTTTTCGCGACAGACCAAAATCTGCAAACTTTATATTATTCTGATGTACAAGTACATTTTGTGCATGCTACATTAAAGAAATAAGAATATTTATTATCTTGGTGGATACAAATAATTAGCATGATAAAAATTAAAAAAAAAAAGATGTCATACTAAATCACAGTGAATAATTCCTTCGCTATGCATACATGCCACAGCATTTGCAAGTTGAAAAGCTAATTGATATTTATCACTCCATTCTAGTTTATTAAAATTTTCCTTTAAATGAGATTGCAATGATCCACCATCAGCATACTCCATAACTAGCAAATACTTGTTTGTTATATCCGATTTTGATATCCCATAAAATTTTATAAAATTTGCATGATAATCAATTTCGCGTTGCATTTTTATCTAAAGTATTTTCAAAATAATTTTGTTAATGGTAAAAAACAATATGAAATTATATTGTTGAAGTTGCATCATTTATAATAGTTTACCTCATTAACGATCTCGTTAATAGTCAAATTATATGAATGTGATAGTTTCAGAACCTTTCCAGTTTGCGCAAGAAACTTTTCCATACGAACCGCTGCTGATTTCTTCCCAATTAGTGAACTCTGCAAAATCATAATTTTTGATATAATCTTCCGATATTGCTCTTTCTAACCAAGCAATATTAGTGTTGAAATTATCTATTTTGGTAGTTGTCATGTTTATTTAAAAGAAAAAATTGGACATTCAATCATTTTTAAATAGCTTTCCTTTAATTCGTGTAACATAATTATTAAAGACAAATACTAATATTGGTTCTGTTGTAGCGTTAATTTCCGAAATGTATCACAAATCGGAATGCGCATTTGGAATATCCAAATGCGAAGATCGTTTGGGAATTCCTCGTCCCAAATGAACAATATTCCAAATGCTCAATTCAGTTATCCCAAATGATCACTGATTAACTTGTGTTTATTAAATTGAAATTGCAAACTTTTATTTTATACGTTTTTTTTCAAATAAATTAAATAGCAAATTTTATATTAATTTAAGTTGTAAAAATAAAAAATTAAACAAATTTTACACCGGCAATCCTTACTTGGATGACAATTTACATTACAATATCTTCCACTTTGTACAAATACAACGAATTGTAGTGCAAAAAAATCTTTTTGTATTTACATTTTTATATAAGAAATTTTAACTTCAGATTATTTGTAATCTTGTAGCCTCTCTAACACTATTGACATAATTCATTGTAAGGGGGGAAATGGTTTTTTTTTTAAAGTAAATCCTTAAGTGAGATCTTCGCATTTGGGCTACAACAGTTCCTTCGATGCGTACAGAAACACCGAAATTGCCATCCCTGGAGTTATTAATTCATTCTTTCGCTAAAAAAAGAGTGTATGTACATAATGTTTCAATTGTGTCGATTCTGAAATTGCACAATCGATCTACATATTTAATAATTTTGGCCACTTGAATGCAATTAATCTTCAAATGTTACATCGCTTTTGAATGTCATGAACAAGTGATATCGATAAACTTGTATTGATTCCGTACCGAGGCATTAGATAACCGAACCGAATTTGGGTTGAATAATTACCAGCAGGAATTTTATATGGAAATGTATGCTAAACCTTCAGGTAATGTAATTACTAAGGATGTTTATCCTTTATAAAATTGTATCTTTTAAATTTAAAAAAAAAAGATTTGATTTATTAGCTGCAACTGAATGCATTGAAATCACCAATGAGTTTATTATGTTGATAAAAAAGTGAAAATTTAATGCTGATCATTTATAATTAAGGTGTGACCAATAGGATTTCACTTCGTAGAAACATGGAGGATGTGACAGATAATTTTATAAAGATCACATGACCATGTCTTTTTTTTGTTGGGAGAAAATCGATAATACCGAATAATATTGCTCTCAACGCATATGTAATACTTTTTATTTTATATATAAAAATTTTAACACATTATTATCTCATTAATTCTTAATGCTTCGGATTTCTCTTTCATTATATATCAAAATTAGATAACAATGAGACCAAATTTGGGGAAGATCGAATGTCGTCTAAGGAAATGTCTAACAAAGGATAGCCTTATTTGTAAACAATCAGGGTCAAGAAAAGAATATTAGCGTCAGAACCTTAAAAAAAATTTTCACCACCAAACAACAACTTCTTCCTTCTGACATGCCAAAAAAAAAAAATTTGAATTTTTGAATTTTGAATTTTGAATTTTAAATTTTGAATTTTTTTTCGAATTTTAATTTCTTTTAAGAAAATAAAAAAAACTTAAATTTTTTGAATTTTGTCGAATATTAATTTCCTTAAACATAAAATTACTTTCTAATACACACAAAATGTCAATTGAGCAAGTACAAGATCAAGAATCTCAACGTTTTATGGTACTAAGTACTGCTCGAATTTGCATCGAACAACGGAAAATGGCAATAAAAGAGGCAGGGGATAATGATAAAGAAAACGAAAATTGCCCTAAAAAATTCGAAAGGAGTCCTGACATCGTTGTTCACCCAGAAAGTTCCATCGCTCAAGAATGTAGGAAAAGAAGTGAATATAAGAAACTTTTCTTGTATTTTGATATTTATGCGGAAGAAATCCGAAACAAACATATGGAAAAAAATACGTTCATCCCATTGGAAAACATGCCAAAGGAAGATCAGTTAAAACGACAATTTAAGGCAAGAAATCAACAAGACAGGCTTCTCTCATACAACTCATTCGAAATTGTTAATCTAATGGGAGAAAAATAAGTTTTTTCTTTTTTTTTTTTTTTTTTGTTATATATTAAGTATATTTATACCACTTCTTTTCATATGTTGAATTGAAGATGAGATTGAAAATAACATTTTTAAATCAACAATTAGATTAATAGTATTTATTAATATTAATTTATTTTTTTTTATTCATTTATTTATTAAATCATTTTTGTAAAGTATGATATTGTATGTCAAAGGATTTTCCCATTCGGGTTCAATAATAAAAAATACAAAAACTCGTGGAATAACGTTAGAATTTATCAATAATTAAATAAACTAAAGAAGTATATTTGCCCGCAAATTTTTTGTTGAAACATTTCAAAATAAAGTTGACTCCATATTAAATAAAATAAAATAAAAAATAAGAAAAAATGAACATCAATTAAATAATTGAATTGACGGGTGTAGCATATTTTAAGGAATACTTTTGTTAGGACCATCGGCTACTTCAACTTTCTTTTTTCTCGATTTAATAAATTTGCAAATGAGTGTAATTGCAATAAGTATTGCTATTATAATTAGAGAAATTCGTCAGTCTCCCCCAAAGTTCAATCTTCTTTTTCTGCCCAAAACATGAGTGGGTTGTATGATGAAAAGAATAGGAAATAAGAATTGACTTGCTTTAAGAAGTGAGTGAAACTATTTATTTAATTGCGTCGTCGTTAAATTTCTAAAGTTCCAATTCAGGCGCTTTTATATATAAATTAGGGTTTAGGATTAAGACGCGGGTTTCTCTCATGATAAAAGCCACCAAATCCTTTTGTTTACGACATGTTTTATTTCACTCCTTAACTCATTCGTTAAATCCGTTTCAAATCAATAAAGCAAATTCGACTTGAACGAATTTTTCAACATTGTTACGTAAAGGAACTAAAATTTTTTCCGGTTTGACAAAAGGGGTTGGATGATTTCTTTTCATATATTACATTCATTCTCATAATTTAATTTAAGAAAACCATGAATGGGCGCATCTTTCTAAATATGGTCATTTAAGTAAAATTGAAAAACAGAAACATGGAGAAATCTGCACACCATTAGAAATTTGTAATTTGGAATCTTCAAATTTGACGTATATAAAATGATCGTTCTTGGTCTAGAACATTGCCCATTTGACAGAGCTGCTAATTATGTAATGGATTTAATTTCCTGACGTTTAACCAATAATGGGTAAAAATAACTCCAAATATTAGATCTGCTAATTTATGAAAGATTGACAAATAATATTGCAAAATAATTTAATGAAATGGAATTTGTCTTAATGAGCGTGTGTCCATGTGGAACATTGAATTCATTTAATCTATGCATGGAATGCATGGAATTCATTCTTATTAAAAAAAAAGAAAAAGAAGTTAATGCTTTTCGAAAATTTGAAACAAGGTAATGCATAGAATTGTTTGGTCGCAAATTGATTAAAAATAAAATAATAAATATGTACTTAAAAAAGGGAAGTTGATAGACGCGCAATAAAATATAAAATGTTAAAGTCAATTATTCTATATGTCAATTGATCCTAAATAATATAATTAAATTATTGTTTACGTGAAATACAATCTGTGTACTTTTCTTTTCAGAGAATTTTAACCAGAAAATTGACTAATTCGAGCTAATCGCATTTTCGGTCTGTAGACAATAATGAATTAATTAAAGTCATTGTCACCAAATTTTTATCATTTGGTTTTTCTTCAAATATTCTTTCTACATTGTTGTAACAATTAAATGTTTGATTTTTATCATGGTTTTTCATTGTAAATAAATAAATAATAAAATTAGTTGTATTATTTTTTAATTTTTAAATTTTGAATTTTTTTTTTTTTTTTTTTTATGTAACGCGTCTCTTACTATGGGAGGTTTGATAACCACTATTTTCATTCGTTTTGCATTATTAGTTTTTCACATGATGTCGGAAATCGATATCACGTGACTTTAAATTTTAATTTATTTGGTCATAACAAATGTGATTAGTATATTTATATATTATATCATATGATCAGCACTACGAGAACAAAAGCTTTTCACCATTTATTTACTTAATATACGATATATTCTTCTTTCATATATCATTTTAAGTTTAAACCTTCAACTATGACTGATACATATTTGGTGAGAGTTGGGGGTAAAGTCTTTGAATTTTCTGAAACGAGGTGAGTTGAGGGATTTCTTGTTAAATTCTCTCCTCGTCAAACGTAACCTTTAAATTTATTTTTAATGACCCGTTCCTAGTCTACAAATGGACGCTCCAAACTTGTTTACGGAAATGTTTTGGGGTGGAAAAGTCTATGGAGTCAAGGAAATCTTCTTTGACCGAGACCCCGTAATATTTGAAGTAATTTCAAGATACTTGCGTGGTTATGAGATCTTTCCAATTTCATCCATAAACCTACCAGTTGGTATGTCGGAAAACATTTTTCGACATAATTTATTACGAGATGCAAAATTTTTTCAATTAACAAAACTTTCAGAATCCATGATAACGATGGACACCAGAATTGGAGACGTGTTCAACAGTCATTTCAAAATCGAGAAACGGTTGATTGATATCGTACCACATGTTCACTTGCAATTGAAGAGATTTGGGGAGAAACAATTTGTGGTTTATAAAAGTGAAGGAATGCCGGTTGTCTTGTTTCATATGGGTGGGGTTATATGTGATGTAGCTCCACCTAGTTCCACCGCAGAATGGAAATTTCAACCAGTAGATTTGGAACATAGTAGAATCATAAGGGATATAATTGTAAATATCATAGGTGAAAGTTACGATCATAAAAATGATGTTTTTAACGGTTGTAAAAGCATTAGCGCGTTTGAAATTGATGGTCAAAAAGTTTATGGAAGCGAGATTTATTCAAAATTCAAGGAAAAAACTGCCCAAGTTGATAAATACGGGAGAATCAGATTTTTATTAAGTAAATTGATTTTTAGTTTGGAAGTTGTTGGTGAACATCTTCAGTTCAACAATCCCATTGGAAGTTCTTCCTCTGGAGGAAAAATTAAACATAGAATTAAACCCGTTTGGGGGACTGGAATTACCGAACCTACTTGGTTAGCGCATCGAGGAACTTAGGTATTTCGCGGTTAATTATTTCGAAAATTAAACTGTTCCCCCCCCTTTTTCCAAAGATTAACTCTTTCTTTTTTTTTTTTTGCCAAATTCATTTTGTAAAGGTCTTCGATTTTTTTTTTTTTTTTTTTTTTTTTCCTTTTTTTTCATTTATTTTTTTTCTCTTTTTTTTTTTAAAAAAAATTTTTAAATCTATCTATTAAAAAAAAAAAATCGAAAATGAACAAAAATAATATAAATAAAAAAACTTATTTATAATGAAATTTTTTTATTAAAAAATTGGATATTCTAATCACCTTGCTTTGATATCTCAAAGATGATTTTTTTTTTTTTGAAAGAATATTCGTTCTATTTATAATAATATGCAATGATGATTATTTCTTTTCACATGACTACAGCATTTTCCATAAATGCATTAAGATCGTGATCCGATCTTGATAAAAAAAATTTTTTTTGATCCAACCAATATATCCAAATCTTTGAAAAGCTGGCAAATTTTACAAACTCTTTTTTCAATTTTTTAAAATCATCATCCAAATGTCTTCTATCACGGACGTTAGTGAGCGTAAAATTCGTCCGATTTATGGTAAATCTACAAATTTTTTTTTCATGATTTTTTTTTTTAAAAAAAAAAGAAAATATAATAGTTTGGTTCGGAATGGTTTGAATTTTCCTCAATGCTAAATGTATTTAATTCCTTTACCTGTCTAGAGGCGATTGATAGTTTAAATTATAAGTCCGCGTTATCGCATTGTAACAAGTTGTTGAAGAAGCAACCTAACGCTCTCATATTAAAGGTAATTTGCATTTGCATTACTTTCATATGTTTTCGCATTTAACCGCTGTTATTATTTTTCAGGCTTTGAAGGGTTTGATTCTAGAGAGAACTGGTAAATCCGACGAAGCATTACAACTATGTGATCAAGTAAAAGAAAACAAGCCCTCAGACGAACCAATATTGCAAGCTCTTACTATGGTTTATCGGTCGTTGGGGAAACGCAAGTATCTTAAAAAACAATGATTTGGTTTTTCTTTCATTTATTCACATTTGCCTTTGTTCCTTAATTATAGTTGACGACATTGTTCAATTATATGAAAATGCCACGCGTCAAAACCCTAATAACGAAGAACTCGGCAACCATTTGTTTATGGCTATGGTTCGAAATGGTGATTATAAAGGGCAGCAACAGGTGAATTCGATAATCGTTAAAAGGATTCATGGATTTTCAAACTTTTTAGTTATTATTTTATTCTCCTGTAGGCTGCTTTGAAATTACACAAGACATTTGGCGTGAACAAATATTTATTTTGGGGCATTATGAGTTTGGTATTACAGGTATAAATAAACGACTGGATATTTGCTAACATTATTTGTAAAAGAAAAATATTTAATTTTGAATGTATGTATGCTAGGCAGAAAATGCTCCTGCAGGTCAATCATCAATTTTCATGACATTGGCCGAGCGCATGATGCTCAAAGCAGTTCAAGAAGGTCGATTGAAACTGACTGAAGGTATTGATCTCTTTTTTTCCCCCTTCATTAATCCTCTTGATTTGATCTAATATTTACATTTGTTCATCAGAGGTCCATCTTTACTTGATTGTTTTGTTGACGCAAAATAAAACCAAGGAGGCTCTGGAAGTTTTGGAAGGCGACCTTGGTCAAATATGTAAGCACGATACCGAGATAAAGTATATTCGGAATGATTTGCTTCTAAAAACTAGCAATTGGTCCAAGGCAATTGAGATAAGCAAGTTATCGTTAACTGAAACGAAGTTGGTAGATGAATTAATGATATTTTATTATTGAAAAACGTGAGATTATTTGTCTTAGTCCTGATATTTATTTCTAATTAGCATAGATGATTGGGGAGCATATTTAACTTATTTGGAATCTCAATTTCATCTCATCAAGTCTAGTGAGAAGGATGAAAATGGAGAAATGTAGGTGATGATTTTCCAGATATATCATTATTTCCTTAAAGATCTTCTAGATCTTGAATTATCCCTTGAATTACAGTTTGAATAAGGCGACGATATTGGATGATGCTCGCGAGCTGTTACGTTCATTGCAAGAGAAGGGAGGGAGTTCAAGCGATGTGAAGCGAGGTCCATTTCTTGCCGAGTTGGAATTAGAATATCGAGTCATTTCGGAGTTAAAAGATTGCAAACCGGCACAAGAAATTGACATTTTGGCGATTGAGTATTTTCGAAAGTTTGGAGAGAAATCATGCTGCTTTGAGGATTTACAACCTTATTTGAAAAGTATTCCGCTGGAAACCTCCAGGATGATGGTCGAAGCATTCAATGCTTTGATTGATAGCACTTGTGAGGATGTTAAGGTGAGCAAACGGTCCTCATGTCTTGTTGTATTTTTGATTTATATAGATTATCTAAATCTTTTTTTTTTTTTATTGTAGTCAAGGATTCAAAATGTTCATAAGAATATTAATGTTAATAAGTTGGAAAGATATCTTGGGTTATTATCGGATATCAGCGAAAGTGATGCAATATTATATGTTAATAAGTTATGGAGGTCATACAATGACGCTCTTCAGTATGGTACGAAGTATTAAAATTATCGTAAATTCCATATACTTTCTGAATCAATAAAGTCAGTATAGATCCATATTTAATATATTGATCATAGGTGTAGAGTTACTAGACACTGAAAATCAATATGGCGACGAATTTGTTATCCTGGCATCTCACCTTCTTATTGATTTGTATCTCAAAAAAGGTGAGCTTTTTTTTTAAAAAAAAAAGAACAAAAACAAAAGAAAAATTACTTAATGTTGAATTATAATATTAAATTCATAATTATAATTATTATTATTAATCGTGTCGTGATGATTATTTGATAGGCCAGAATTCTTTTGTACTTCAAGCAATTTTCCTATTGGAGATGGCTTTGTGTAAAAGCAAATACAACTACCAATTCAAATTGCTACTCGTTCGGCTTTATCAAATTCTTGGTATGTGAACCGTTATAATAGGGGATTGCTGTATTCAAACTTAACCGTTTAATTATATCACAAACAGGAGTCTTTCAGAGGTCTCTCGAGTTGTACAAGTCTATGGATATAAAGCATGTTCAACTGGACACCATGAGGTTTTCAAATGTTTACGAAACAATCAATGCGATACTGTATTGTTATTAATGTATTTCTTTAACATTGTTTACAGCCATTACATTTGTGCCCGGTCGTCATCTTTTGCATTTATTGGAGAAGCTATTCGAGCATGTCATGAGACTCTTCAAATATATCGCAGTAACGATGCGGAGGTGATAATTGATTTATATAGTTTGATATACAAAAAAAAAAAGGAAGCATAGAACTCATTCATAGAAAATTTTTATTTTCAGACACCTGAAATGATAATTCAGGCGTTTAAGCTTGCCACCTTTAGCAAGGTATTGATATTTATCATTGTCAAATATTTAGTTCGCAAAGTTATTTAAGATAGTTTATTTGTTATAGGTGCAAGAATTTATCAAGTTCCGTAAGGAATTAGATTGTTCTATGCAAAGGGTTCTTTTATATAGGGAAATAGTACGTCTTGATATTCTGAGCATATCAAAAGATCTTAAGAATACAATGGAATACTTTGAAAGAGATTTGGACTCGATCATTGATCTTAGCTATGATGGTAGTTAATACGTAATTTGGTTGGGAATGTAATGGTCATCATGTTCTAACGTAATTTTATCTCTTTAGATCCTTTTTGTGCAACTCTTTATGACCATAGAGATTTTACAGTAATGACTAATTGTAATCCTTCTGGCACCAAATCTTTCGAGGAAGTTACAAGAGTGTCACCCACACTTAACGTAATTATCTTGATTATTCTATGAATGTCGGTCAAATTTTTTAATTATTCCTAGCCTAATTTTGTTTCATATTTTATTCATTCAGAAAGCTTGGTTGAAAATTTTTTCCCTCATTCCACGAATTCTCAAGACCCTGTATGCTAATAATAACGCTGACGACTTAATAATATTGATTGAGGAATTAGAGAATTTAGTTAGTTCAGAGAAAAAAGGATTGGTAATTTGTATTTTTATTTATTTTTTTTTTTTTTTTACTTGTAGTTTTCCTTTCTTGAACTTATTTATGTCTTTTATTTAAAATTAAGATAACATTAGAGGAAAGACATATAGGTGAGATAGTTTCAAGATTGGGTCGTCTATACATTACGACGAAAGAAGTTCGAGCGGGTCAAAAGGAATCTAGACAAAAATTATCAAAAACTATTGACGGGATCATTTCTATCTTAAAAGGTTTGAATAAGGATTTATTACTTTTTAATAATTCTATTTTCTTTTTAAGTTATTCACTTTCCGTATTTTTGATTTCAGATTTCTGCAAAGAGGATTTTACCAAAATTTCACTACGAGAGCTATCTTGGAAACACTTGCATCAACTTTCAACTTTTCTGGAGGTAAGGACCGTTTTATTGTTTGAAGATATTTTACTTTTTTTTCGTCGATATTAAATTTTATTTATACGTCAAATAGACTTGCAACTATATTATCATTGTAATTTACATTATAAATGAATTATTACTTAATAAAAACAAAAAATCGGGGAATAAAGACATGGTCAGTAATTAATAGAAATATTTATTCGTCAATAACCATTGCAAGGTGTTGATGATTTTTTTTTTTTTGATTTAGATCCAAGTAATCCAAACTTTGAAAAAATCTGTAAAAGAAAATCTTGAGCGATTAAACGAACAATTAAATGAATTCAAAAAGAAATTAGAGAATGAAGAAGAGTTGTATTTGGATCTTTTATCATTTATCAAATCCGAAAATGGATTTATAGAATTTTGTGAAAGTGAGGTATGTAATATTTATTATTTATTTATTTATTTATTTATTTTTTTTTAAAAAAAAAAAAAAATTATATAATTGTTTAATTTATAAAATGTTATATGTAGACAAATGTGTCATTTATAAAAGAAATCTTAGTTAAAGACGTGGGATTAAGCTGGAAAACGAGTATTCAAAATATAATTCAAGAAATTGAGTATAGGATTAACCTATGTTAATTAGATTAAATTAAATTATTTATTGTTTTCAATTATATAATTTTTTATAATACTGTTAGATACAATATATATATATTCCTTGCCAAAATAAAAGGTCATTAATGCTTAATAAGCAAGCAGTGAATGTTAAAGATCCTCTACCGAATTTAATGCTCAATTTCAAGAAAAAATATTTTCTCAAGTTTTTAAAAATATATAAATAGATTTATAGCACCAAAATCATATTGATACTTTATTATTTATAATAATTACAATTATGAATTTTTCCTTTATGCATCTAGCAGAGTAGACAGATTCTCTCTACTAAATAAAAATAAAAGAAAAAAAAAAATAGTAATACTTTTTGCTCGCTTTTTAAAGACATACACATTCATAAATATATAAAACATCAAAAACCCAATCGAGAATTGCTATTCTTTTGATTACAATTTTGAATTTTTCCATTTAGGCTGCCTTTTCTCTTTAAAAGCGCGAACCCCCTCTTTAAAGTTATCTTGTATAAATAATTTTTTAGTCATTTCAGAATCGAAAAGCTTTCTTTCAGCTTCAGTTAAAGAAGGAGATTCCAATGAATAAAGTATGCCTCGTTTTGTAACTTTAATAGCATCAGGAGAATTTTTAATTATCTCTGACGCAATTTTCAATGCAGCTGGTACAGCATCCTGTTAAAAAAAAAGGGAATCAATTTCTTGGGGTAAATAAAAAAACAAACGTGAATTGGTGTTAATTACTTTATAAAATGGCACAATTTGGTTAACAAGTCCAAGTTCCTTAAATTCCTTTGCCGAACAAATTCGACCCGTAAAAGCCAATTCACATGCACGCTGGTATCCTAAATCGAACAAGATAACAAAACTTCTATAAGAGAATGAAAATTTCACGTTAAATAAATGCATCTTGTAAATATACACACTTACCGATGAACCTTACTAATCTGGATAATCCACCATTGGCAGCAATGATACCTCTTGACACTTCAGGTAAAGAAAATATAGCATCTTTTGCAGCAACGACGATATCACATGCCAAAGTCATTTCCATTCCACCCCCTTTTTCGAATCAATCAATTCGAAGCATTTATGATAAATACTCTTGCGTGACATACGTACATCATATTTTTTATTCGAATATCAAAGGATTCTCACCAATCGCAAATCCATTGACGGCGGCAATGACAGGTTTGAAACAATCAACCCTTCTACTCAATCCTCCAAATCCGCTCGGTGGAAAATCATCAATTGATATCGTTTGATCTTTTTTTGAAGTTAATTCATCTTTTAAATCTTGTCCGACACAAAATGCCTTATCTCCCGATCCCGTGATCTATTTTAAAACTCGTTAAAAATGAAAATAAAATAAAATAAAAAATAAAAAATAAAAATTGATGATCTTACAATCGAAACCCATAACTCTGGTTCCCGGTTATACCAATTAAATACTTCATCCAATTCGAAATGCGCGGGAAGGTTAAGCGCGTTAAGTTTTTTCGGACGATTAATGGTTACAAGTAATACATGTAATGCTGGAAATGTTAATAAGCAAAATTTGGTTTTTGGAGGTGAAAATTCAAAATTTGTTGGAATTCCGGGCATCGTTACTTTTTTCAGTTATATAATAAATGAAGATTTTTGGTCGCAAGGAAGATATACAAATATGTACATAATCGTCATGAAAAGTCACGTGATAAGATCCGATAAAAAACGATAAATTATTTTTTGCTAGCCAATCAAATTCTTCAAGAAAACATACATTAGGAAAATATTATTTTATTAAAACACAAATGAATTAGGATAAAACTACTTTAAGGATTTTTTATAAAACAAGATTGAAATAATCTCCTGCATGAGTTCGATAGCAGCCGGATGACCTCTATTATCTATGGCGAGTAATTTATACTCGAGAGTATCTTTGATTTTATCAAAATTATAAACGATATAATTGATCATGTCATCTTTCAAGTCCTTCCATTTATAACCTTCACTGAATAAAACCTTAACCACGTTATCAAAGTGTAACCTTTTGTAAATTTCTACTCTCGCCTTTTGCCTTAAATCCGATATAAGATAGTAATCGGCTATTTTAAAGATTTCCATCGGGATGATATCGGTATTATTAAATTCGATCTTACCCGTGTACATGAAACGAATTACCTTCAGGAAGGTTTGACGGGAGAATTCTTGAATATCGATGTTGACATAATTGTTGTTTGTATCAACCTTCCTCTTTTTGTCATTCCTCTCTTGAAATAATTTACGAAAATATTCTGAACGGTTACTGAGGATCGATTGATAAGTGTGAATGATCCCATCCTTAAAATTTAATTGAATGTCTGCGTTCTCGGTGTTGTTGGACTCATCTATCCACGTCGCCATCAATTCCTTTGAAACTTGATTGGAAATGATTTCCGAATTGAATTGACTTTTTTCGATTGTGATATCCGAGAAAATGATACCAATGTTAACCTTTCGGTAATCTTGCAAAGAAGGAAAGTTGACACCTAACGAAAATAATTGAATCAAATCAAACCTTTATCTCGATGATTATGAGGACGAAAAAATAAAAACTCTTCTTTATTTACCCCAAGAATATGACCTCACGGTAAATTTATCCGTCTTGATAGGATTATATCTCTCGTATTCCTGACTTTTAATGTATAGCACAACTGATAATTTTTTACGCGTCTCCCAAACATTTGTCGTCAATGCTTCCTCGTGATTTGGAATCGCGATCAAATATAAAATACAACTTCCACGATTGTCAGGATCCGTCTATTTTTTTTATTTTTATTTTTATTTTTTATTTTATTTATTTTAAAAATAAAAAAAATCTTCATTGAAAATTAAAATACCTTGTAAAATTTTAATTGCCAAAATGTATCATTTGATGTTGCAAAAGGTGGTGAGAATATAGGATCATCATCTATCTCATTTTGAATCATGAATTCAAAAATTGCTTTTCCGTTATGACTAATTGTCATATCGATTCTTGACCGACGAGTATATAATATTAAGAAAAAAATAAAAAAGAACGAAAGAAGAAAAAAATTGGAAATTAAATGTCTAAAAAAAAAAAAAAAAAAACCAGAAACAAAAATGAGAAAAAAAAATAACGATCAAATTATTTTTTTTTTAACGCGTTTGTATTAAATCATTCGTTAAGAATTCCGTTCATTTTCAGTAAATGGTCATTACGTTTTGATCCTGATTGACAAACAAAACATGTGCAATACATCCATTTTTATTACGATTTTTTCACTACTTCAGTACTTAATTTCTGATGCGACTTGGAACTATTCACATTTCTGAGATGAATATGTCGAAAGAAACGTTTGTAAAAAAAAAAAAAAATCACGTTAGAAGTGGAAGAAGTTAAAAGAACTACGTTCCAACAGCCTACGTCGTACCCGTAATTACTTGATCGTCTGCTTGAATTATCGATTTTTTTATATCACAATGCAAGTCTTACTATTGACGCGTATCGATAATCTATTGAAACAAAACATCTTTAGCGAATTGAACCAAAGTATTTAATTCTTTATGACGCGATTAATTTAAACTTCCAACATTTAACGGAATCAAAAAAAAAATTTTTAATTGGATATCTCGAAAATTTCTTTGAAAATAACTTGTTTAACGACGCATCAATCTCATTCAGCAAGCCAGATGAAATATCTATAACACGTGGATTGGTAATAAAAGTAATGAAAATGGGTTGGATCAATTGCAAGTGGATGCAATTAATGTGGGAAATAGTGATCGGAAGCATTATCTTTAGAGTGATAATTATCCATTCCTTTTATTGTATAAAATTTTTATTTTTTTCTTACATCTTGAAATTATTCAAAAATTAAATAAATGTTTTTAATATTTTTGTTTTTAAAATGAGTCTTCTATTCCAAATTAATTTTATTAACTAATATTTTTTGTAATTTTCTATAAAAAAAAAAAAATCCCTTTATTTTAATGATTTTTTCAACAACCTATCCACAATTTCCTGAAATATTTCGATTCCCGCAGGATGACCCTTATTATCAGCCGACAACTTTTTATATTCAGGGGTTTCTTGTATTTTTTGAAAATTTTCCACGATGAAATCCATGATATCATATTTAAGATCATTCCATTGCCAGGCCTCGTTAAATAAAAGATGCATTGCATTCTTTGTACTTAATCTTTTGAAGATTTCAACCCTGGCTTTCTGTCGTAAATTTGATAAAATATACTTGTCAGCTACTTTAAATAGTTCTATAGGTGATACAAGGTTGAATCGAACTTCATCTGTATAAAGATATCTCAACATTTCATAAAATACGGCTTTAGAAGTATCTGTAACATCGACAACAATATAAACTGGATGATTCATGGTATCATCGGATGATGATGATGATGATTCTGTATCAGATGGTGCTTTTTTCCTCTGTTGTGATTTTTGTAAATTTGACATTTCCGCCCATTGACCTTTTAAAAAACCCGAAAAATATTCGGAACGACTTGATAATATTGATTTACTCGCGTACACAATTCCATCTTTAACGTTAAATAAAACATCGGATTTTTCTGGAACATCTAATTCGCGACCCCATGTTTCTAAAATATCTTTTGATTCTGGTTTTGTACTAAGAGTAGAATTATATCCTTTTGATTCTAAAACGGAATTTTCAAATGTTACACCGATTATGACTGACGAACCATCCGTTATCTTATTAAAATTTTTTCCTAAATTTCAAATTAAAAGATATAAATATTTTGATTTTGATCTCTCTCTCTTTTTTTTTTTTTTTTTAAAAAAAAAAAAAAAAAGTCCGATATCTTTCTTACCCCATGATTTACTTCTCAAAGAATAATCATCAGTAGTTATAGTATAAGCTTTACTAAATCGTGCGTTTTTAATAAACAATGAAGCAGAAATACTAGCTCGATCACACCAAAATTGAGTTGAGACAGCTTCTTCAGAATTTGGAATAGCAGTCAAAAAGATTAAACAGCAATTTGGATTCTCGGGATCACTCTAGTAAAAATAAAAAAAAAAGAGTGTAGGTTAATGAACTCATTTCTCGGTTATTTTTGTATGAGTAAATAAATTATGAGAGAAAAGAAATTATTACCGGTTGATACTCAAGTTGCCAAAACATATCATCAGCCGTTGAAAAAATAGGGGTATAGACACTTTTTTCCCCAATTGCTTCATTGTTGGGAACTGTAAATTCAAATGTTGCTTTTCCTTTGTTGACAAACATTTTGATAAAACGGGGAAAGTGAAGAAAAAAAACCGATAAAAGTTGTGAAAAGGATAAAATTGATCCCTTTTATATATCGTGAATGATCTGCACGTTCAAGGATCAGCGCTCAATGCTTAAAAATATGGAAATAATTAATAATAACAATATTTTTGGCGTCCTTTAAATTCAGCAATACAACTCGTTACATTAAGTTTTTTTTTTCGATGTAACAACTAAAATAATTAAATTATTGTTGAAATAAATATATGCAGGATTAATTGATTTAATTTAATTAATTAAATTAAATGATAAATTTGAAAATTTTTTTATGCGCATGACCCGTGTTTTGATTCAATGAGACAATAAAAACAAAAATTTTTGTTTTATCAAAATTTAAGTTTCTTCCTTTGGATGAATCCGTTTACAGTCTCCCATCTACAATAAGCAAAGAAAACGTGAAAATTTTGTTTGTGTGTAATTATAATAATATATACTGCTGCAATTTCATACCAACAAAACCGTATGACGTCATACAGCCAACCCTTATATGCAAGAATACAAAATTTGAAAAATTTTGAATTGATTTCGTCAAAGAAACATTATATAACATTCAATCTGCCTTCTGTAGTAAAATTCTATTTGGTGAATACAAATTTTGCAAACTTAGAAAGATATAACCATTAAATAACTAATGATTTATTACATTTAATATTACTTTCACGATGTACAAATATGAAACTGTTACAATTGATAACGATAAACGTTTATTGGTTCGAATTGTTTGATTTACATCTTTTGTGCAAGTGAAGAAAAAGGTAAATCTATAATGACATAAATCATTTGATATAAAAGGAAATAAAATTTTAGAAAACGTTTTGAAATGTGCATTGACCAAATTTCTAAATTTTAACAAACAGATATTAAACTTAAATACATAAGAAATCCTAAATTGGCTAATTAATTTTTTTTTATCTCGCATGCCATGTCGGAATCTTTTGGGGAACAAATAAGTTTTGTTAACGACACCAATGCTGATTGGTTAGAAAAAGCGATTTCTGAAAATTATTTTAAATATTTTGATTATGAAGAGTTCACCAATATGAAAAATATCAACAGCGGCTCTTTTGGGAAAGTTTTTCGTGCAAACTGGAAAAATTCTAATGTTATTATGGCGATAAAATATTCATATAAATCATCTGTTAAAGAAATTGTTAATGAGGTAAGTATTATTTCACATAATTTTTTTTTTTTTAATCATATTTAATATTAATACATGTAAATGATAAATTTATGATAGTTAAAAATTCAGCGTGAAGTTGATTATCATGCAAATATTATAAGATTTTATGGTATCTCAAAGTTCAAAGGCAGGTATTTGTTAGTAATGGAGTACGCTGATAGTGGATCATTGCAATCATATTTAAAAGAAAATTTTAATAAACTTGAATATAATGAAAAAAATCGATTAGCATTTCAACTTGCAAATGCTGTGGAATATATGCATCATGAAGACATAATCCATTGTGATTTGGTAAGATTTATAATTAAATATTACAATTTTCTTTTTGAAGTTTAAATTAATAAAATTATTATCATTTAATCATATAGCATGCAAACAATATCCTCGTTCATCAAAACAATATTAAATTGGCAGATTTTGGTTTATCTAGAAAAATAACTGATGTGTCAAGTCATTTAACAGACGACGTGTATGGCGTCGTTCCCTATGTTGATCCAAGATATTGGAATAAAAGTCAATCTTACACATTAGACAAAAAATCTGATGTTTATAGTGTTGGAGTCCTTTTTTGGCAAATTTCAAGCGGTTGCAAACCTTTTGAAAATATTAAATATGATGCAACTTTAATTATGGATATCAAAGAAGGAAAGCGTGAAACAATTGTTGAAGATACTCCAATTGAATATAGTAATCTATATGAAGGTAATATTTATAATATAATGTAAATAAATTATAAATGTATACTAATTCTATATCATTCTGTTAGCATGTTGGAAAGAAGATCCAAATGAGCGTCCTACAATACAAGAAGTTGTTAAATATCTTCAATTAATAATTTTTGGGGAAAATAAAGTTATTTGCGTGGAAGACAAAATAGAATTACCAAAAGAAATTCATTCTCATCTTCAGTCAAAATTTACAAGCAAAACATTTAGTTATAATTCTGATTTGTGTTTAAGTAATCTTGCGCAGAATTTAAGACCAGAAGAAAATGAATGCAATCCCTATATACTAAAACAAGCAAAGGTATTGTTTTCGGAGATATTTAACTCAACAGATAAGATTGATATCTTAATTGATAAATTAGTTATGCTCTTGATTAGAACAAGGGACGAAAGCAATAATTTTAACGAAACAAGACAGTTTATTAATCAATGTATCATACTTTCGAATCAAGCAGCAAATGATATTATTAGTTGGCTTAAGGAAAATCAAGATACATCAAAGAAAGCATTCTTTCTTGGATTTTTGTACTTTAGTAAGTTTAATATTGAAGAAGCATTTATACTATTTAAAAAAGCAGCAGAAATGAATTATTCTATTGCGCAAGTATATTTGAGCAAATGTTATAAAGATGGATTTGGTACTAAAGTCGATAAAGATTTAGCATTTAATTGGATGAAAAAGGCTGTAAAAAATGGAAGTATATGCGGTCAACTTGATCTTGGCAGCTATTATAATAATGGTATAGGATCAAATAAAGACTTAAAAATTGCATCTTATTGGTTTCAAAAGGCAGCAGAAAATGGTAATAAAATAGCACTATTTAACTTAGCAATATGTTATCAAAATGGAGAAGGCGTTGATAAAGATGTAAATAAAGCATTTAAACTATATAAGAAATTAAATGGTTATATTAACGCGAAATTTCAATTTGGATCTCATTATTTTAGCGAATTAGAAACTGATGTTGATAAAGTAAAAGCAATTGAGCTATTTAAAAAAATGGCAGAAATGGGCAATGTTACTGCGCAATACACTTTAGCTATATGTTATCAAAATGGAGAGGGTGTCGATAAAGATGAAAACAAAGCATTTGGATTGTTTAAAAAGTTAGCCGAGATCGGAAACGCAAATGCAAAGGTTCAGCTTGGAAATTATTATATTGATGGGATTGGAACTGACAATGATAAATCAAAAGCATTTGAAATATTTAAAGAAGTAGTAGAAAACAGATATAATGATATAAAATATGATATTGTATCCTTATATGAAGAGAATAAAGAAGTAGAAACGAATTTAGAAAACGCATTTTTTTGGTATCAAAATGCAGTAGAAAATGAATATGAAATAGCACAATATAATCTTGCAACGCTATATGAAGAAGGTGAAGGAACAGAAAGAAATTTAGAAAAAGCAATTTATTGGTATCATAAAGCGGCTGAAAACGGTTTTATTGACGCACAATACAATCTTGCATTATTGTATGAAAATGATAAACAAACAAAAAAGAGTTTAGAGAAAGCGATTTATTGGTATCTAAAAGCAGCTAAAAATGGCTATATAAAAGCACAATATAATCTTGCAATACTATACAAAAAAGGTGAAAAGTCTATAGAAAATTTAGAAAAATCTATTTACTGGTATGAAAAGGCAGCAGAAAATGGTTATAAAATTGCACAACATAATCTTGCCATACTATATGAAAATGGTGAAATTATAGAAAAGAATTTTGAAAAAGCATTCTATTGGTATGAAAAAGCAGCAGAAAATGATAATAACATTGCAATGTATAATTTAGCTCTATATTATCAATATGGAAAAGGAATTGAAAAAAATTTAGTTAAAGCCTTTTATTGGTATCATAAGGCTGCAATAAAAGGCAATGAAATTGCGCAAATTAATTTAGCATTTTTATATAAAAAGGGTAAAGGTATAGAAAAGGATTTAAAAGAAACTTTTTATTGGTTTAATAAAGCAGCAGAAAATAATAATGAAATTGCACAATACAATCTTGCATTATTATATGAAAATGGTGAAGGAACAGAAAAAGATTTCCAAAAATCCTTTTATTGGTATAAAAAAGCAGCAGAAAATGGTAATAAAGTTGCACAAGCAATTTATAATCAAAATTATAATAACGATAAAAATAATAGTCATAAAGATACATTTGCATTATATAAAAATTCAGCTGAAAATGGACATATATTTATAAAATTTCAACTTGGATATTCTTATAATTATGGAATTGAAATTAATATTAATAAAGCAAAAGCATTTGATTTATATAAAGAAGTAGCAGAAAAGGGATATATTAAAGCACAATATATGATAGCAAATTTATATAAAAAAGGTGAAGGGATTGAAAAAAACTTAGAAAAAGCATTTTATTGGTATAAACAAGCTGCAGAAAGTGATAATAAAGTAGCACAATATAATTTAGCCATTTGTTATCAATATGGAGAAGGTATTAATAAGGATGAAATTAAAGCATTTGAATTATATAAAGAATCAGCTAAAAATGGATATATTTATGCAAAATTTCAACTTGGAAATTGTTATAAATATGGAATTGGAACTAGTGTTAATCATATAAAAGCATTTAAATTATATAAAGAAATAGCAAAAAAAGGATTTACTTTAGCACAATATAATCTTGCATTTTTATATGAAAATAGCGAAGGAACAGAAAAGAACTTAGAAAAAGCATTTTATTGGTATTGTAAAACAGAAGAAAAAATAAGTATTCATGCAAAAAATAATCAAATATATGAAAAAATGGAAGAAATGAAAAAGAATTCAGAAATTTCATTTCAGTTATATCATAAATTAGCAGAAAATGATAATATGGCACAATATAATTTAGCTATATTTTATCAAAATGGAGAAGGTGTTTATAAAAATGAAATTAAAGCATTTCGTTTATATGAAAATTTAGCAAAAAATGGATACATCAATGCAATATTTCAACTTGGATATTTTTATAATTATGGAATTGGAACAGACATTAATAAATTGAAAACATTTGAATTATATAAAATAGCAGCAGAAAAAGGAT